GAAACCTTGTCTCTAAAAAACAAATAGCACACCTATTACATATATTAACTAAGTTCTCATAATAGCTCTAATAGGAAAGCATTGCTGTTGTTATTATTTATTATCCCTCCCTTTTCTGTAGGAGGTTCTATTGTTTGTTTAAGGCAGAGTCTCATGTAGTCCAGGCTTGCCTGAAATTTTCAATGTAGCTGCGGGTGACCCCTTGCATATATCTCTCAGTACAGGGATTAAGGCAACTGTCACCAAGCCTGGCTTCTTTTTTTGGGGGGCTTTCTGAGAGGATTTCACTCTGAAGCCCATGTTGGCCTGGAACTCACTAGGAAGACAAGACTAGTCTCAAATTTGGGGTTATCTTTCTTTTTCCAGAGTGCTAGGATTGCAGTGTGAACTACCACACCTGGTTTAGAAGCAAGCAAATAGTGTGTCTTATATGTTTGAGCTTGTGCCTACATGAACACATGTGCACCACGTGCATGCCTGTGGAATTCAGATGATGGCATCAGATTCCCTGCAACTGGAGTTACAGGTGGTCGTGAGCCACCATGTGGGTGCTGGGGACTGGCCCCAGGACTTCTGCAAGATTAGCTGGCACTCTAAACCACGGAGCCACCTCCCTCTTCCCTGCGCTGGCCCATTTTGTAGAAAGTAAGTAGGGAGTTACTCTGAAGGTGATCAAGCAGAATTAATCAACTGAGAAAATGTCAACAGATAGAGAACTTTTTAAAAATTATTTCACATGGGAGGGAAATGGGAGGCTGGGAGGAGGCAGAATTTTTTTTTTCAATTAAAAAAAATTATTTCACATGTGCGTACTGTGTTTCGATCATTTCCACCCCTCCATCCCCCTCCTCCAAGCTCTTCTGTGTCCCTTCTACTTCCACTCAGTCTCACAACCTCCCCCAACTAAGAGGCAGGATCCAGAATGAAGTAAACTAAAGATAGGTCTTGCTGTGTAGCCCAAGGTAGCCTCCCATCGGGATCTGCCAAGTGCAGGGTTTTCAACACCACCACACCTGACTAAGGATGTTTTCTCATGTTATTGTGAGTCTTAAGAGTAACTAACGACATAACTCATGACATCCCTCCCACCCAAGCCTCTATTTCCTCACGGTCACAGATCTGCAACACTCCTCAAGCCTTCTCTCCCGTTCTGTCCCTGGGCATGCTGGACAAGTACTCCCAGTCAGCTCTTCCAGGCCCTTTCTTTTCCTTTGAAGAGAGACAGGATACATATATATCCTTTCTCCAGCTCTCTTCTAGTCCCTTGTTCTTTGTGTCCCAGCGTGGTCAGACATCTGCAGGGATGCAGGGAACAAGAAAGTATTTGGAGGCAAGGAACAGGGGAAAGACAAGACAAGGAGGAGGGGCCGGGAGTACATGGAGGGTGAAGTGGATAATTTCTTTAGTTTTTTTTTTTTTTTTTTTTTTTTTTGTTTCTGGTCCACACATTAAGAACTCCATGAAGTTTTGCTCCAAATCATGAAAAAATTAACATTTCCTCCAGTTGGGAATGTCGACAACAAACCTTAGTAGCTTTAGCAGTACCTGTGACTTTGTCACCAGTGTGTTGTGACTTCATAGTGTTTGACAGCTGTTCCAGATTTCTTAAAAATGCAACTTATTTATGACTTCGAAGTTAGAATGGTCACTCAACTAATTATTACTTGATTATTAAGAGGATCCTATATTGCTATAATATAGTTTTAACAATAATTTGAAAACTTTGCTTTTTTTTTTTGTTACACAGTTTCCAGGCCCTTGATTAACAATATGTATCACCATGCTTAAATGTCCTAAAATTTTAGGGGCTGGAGGTTCAGAGGGCACATTGTTTGTTCTTGCATGGGGCCCAGACTTGTTCCAGCACCCACACAGTGGTTCCGGCAGATTGTAACTCCAGTTACTCCAGGGATCAGTGCCTGGCCTCCCCGGACACGGGATACATACCCAGCACATTCTACATATATTAGTAGAACTAGCTTTCTTTTAATTTCTCTGTACCCCAAGTGATCCTCCTGGGACCCTAGATGCATTTGATATGATTTAGAGACCTTCTGAGGAAGAGTCCCTGTGTGTCACTGACACCGAAACAGTTAAGATTTCTGATTTATGGGTCTTTCCTTTTCGGCTCTTGTTGTCACGTGTCTACTAGGGACTAAAGCATCCTTTAAGTAGCTTCAAGACCTAAGGCTCTCGTAGTTTTGGTGTTCTGCAATAGACTCTTCCGTGCTCCTCTGCCTTCTTGCTGCCTCGCCATTATTTCTCATCCTAATTTTAGCTGTGTTTTTCCTTTTACGATTTGGAAAAATTGATCCTTTAGCATGTCAAACTCCTCATCCGGGGATTGCTTGCTCTCTCCCGTGTTAGGATTCCTTGGGACACAGTCACTTATTACTGGTATTTGAAGCTGAATTAAAGTAAGACTCCTTGCTAAATCTGGACATTGTCCTGATTTTCTTTTCTTTTCTTTGAATTTATTCTTCTCTCATATATTACTTCCCAGTTTCTCCCTCCTCTCCTCCCAGTCTCTCCCCTACACTCCCCCTTTCTCCCCCTGCCCCCCACCATATTTACTCCTCTTCCTTTTCCCTTCAAAAAAGAACAGTCCTCCTGGAGGTATCGACCAAACTTGGCATAACAAGTTACAATAAGACTAGGCATATACCCTAATAGCGAGGCTGGACGAGGTAATACAATAAGGAAAAGGGTCCCCCAAACAGGCAAAAGAGTCAGAGACACCCCCCTCTCCCACTTTTAGGAGTCCCACAAAAACAGCAAACTATACAACCATAAGATACATGCAGAGGACCTAGGTCAGACTTAACCAGGCTCCCGATTGTTGGTTCTATTTCCTTGAGTCCTTGTGAGCCCCAGTTAGTTGATTCTGTGGACCATGTTCTTGTGATTTGCTTCTGATTTTGTGACCAGGTTTAAAATTAAAAAAAAAAAATTTTTTTTTAAATACTCTTTGTAGCCCAAGCTGGCTCTTGAACTTAATACTCTTTCACCTTAGTTTCTTGTGCTAGGATCATAGGAGTAGGCCATCACGCTTGGCTAATTAATATATTTTTTAGTTGGAATGTTTATGAACGGTATGAAAATCAGTATCCACAAAGGATGTGCCTGAGCTTAAGTCTTTCTCTCTCTTGGTCTCCTGGGAAGTCCATTTCATTCCAGGAGATAACCACTGTCACTACCTTTGAGAGTGATTTTTGTCTATCAGCTCTCTCAATTCCTTCCTTGTCTGTGAGATGTGTGGCCTTTCCAGGCCCTCATGACCTCAAATCTGCTTGACTTTATAAATAAACATTTATATGTGTGTATTTAATGTACATATACAACATCTTTCTCCCTATGGCCTTCTGGGCCGGTTTTCATCACATTGCTTCCTGGATGAAGAACCTGGAAGGGTGAGGGGCAAGGGGTTGGGGGTGACAGAGAAGAGGACCTGAGGGACTGAGGCTAGGGTTGAGTGATGGATTGCTCTGAAGCTCTGTGGGGATTCCTAGTCTTATTTCTCTCACTAGGCCCTCTTCCAGCTCCGTCCAGCTCAAGCCTCTCTTTTCCTAAGGCCGAGACAGAGATAGAGAGATACAGAGACAGAGACGCCGAGGCACCAGCATCTCTCCCCCCCCACCCAATCGTCCCGCCCCACAGCTCTGACGGACGTCCACTTTTAGCCAATGGCGCACGCGAATTGCCCTAGACGGGCCAATGAGAGACAGAGGAGGGCGGAAGCTTGCCCGCCCCCCCACTCTAGGCTTGGTTGAGCCGTGCAGGTAGGTCCGGGGCCGGGGGAGCTGCCGTTGGCACTGCTGCCCCGGGGGGTGGGGGCGCGGCGGGTCGGGGTGATGGTGGCGCAGAGTGGGGCGTCCCGTCCCGGGGACGCCGCGGGAGACGCCGCCGCGGGGCGGAGGGAGGCCAAGGGGTCGCGGGCGCGGGCGCCGCCGAGGGCCCTGAAGGCGGCCGGGCTGAGGACGCGGGGACGCATGTGTGGGGCGCGGAGACCCCCGGCCGGCGCCCACCCGCAAAGCCTGGGCCTCGGGCCGTGGGCCGCGGCGGACCCGGAGACTGGCGGTCAGCGGGCCTGTGGCGGAGGGGGGGGGGTCGCCGAGCGGAGCCCCGGGGCGCCAGGCCGAGCGAGGTGGGACGGACCGCGGCGGGCAGGACGGGAAGCGGCATCCCTCGGGCCGCCCCCTCCTGAGGCAAGTCGGGCAACGACCACGGGCTCCGGGCCCCGAGCCCCGGCGGCCCCCTCCTAACAATGGGGACCGGGCCGGAGGAGTCGCGGGCCGCGAGGGGTGGGGGAAGCTCCGGGACACGGGTCCGAGGCGGGGGAGGGGCGCGGACTCGCCGCCCGGGGGTCGCGTCGCGTCACGGGGTGGGGGCGGGGGGCGCTCAGGCTTGCCTAAGAGTCGGGTCAAGAGTCAAACTCCTCTGGTCCCCACCCCCCAAATCCGATGAGCGGTTAGCAAAGTGATGCCAAGTCTCCCTAACCGAAGTGACAAAACGCGGAGAGGGAGCAAACCCACTCCAGAGCTTTATTTATTTATTTATTTTAAAAAACGGGGGGCTTTGACTCTGATTTTAAGAAATTCTTTTTAAAGAGGTGAGTGTGTTATTTTGTGTTCCTACTCGGGCAAGTCTCCATTTTAAGTGAAGCAGTAACTGGTTAAGCTGGAATTTTCATTCAGGCTTAGGATTTAAGGCTCCTACAAGGGCCATTTAGTCCATCCTTCTGAGTCCCTGCAAACCTAACACCCCCCCATCTTCAAAATCATTTCCTCTGGTCTGCTTTTAAAGATCTCTGGGCAAGAAGGGGTCTTTTCTCCCCTCCCCCCCTCTTTTTGCTTGTAGTACTAAAGTGAAGAATAGTTATTATTATTATTATTTAGAATCAACCCTGAAACAATTTTAAGAAAAGTTAGGACATAGGAATTGTCAGAAAGGTTTTAGGTTTATTAAAAGTAGTTGTAGACTTTTTCAGGTGGTTAGTTAATAAATAATTTTCAGAAGTGCTTATGAAATTCTCTGGGAGAATAACTTTTCCTCTGGGATTTTGGTTTTCTGAATCTTTGATAAGTAGTTTCTGATTATTTAAAATTTATGTCCTTTGGTGTAAAATATTTCTACACATATCTAGAGATACACATATGCACTTCCCAAAGTGAATTGTATATTTTACCTTTTTCTTTGTTTGATACCATCTCTAGCCTTACCTGACAGTACCCCCCCACACACACTCACTGTGTCTACGAGGCCGGTGTTGAACTCCTAGACAACAGCCTGCCTCAGCCTCCTCTGTGCTGGGATTAAAGGTGTGCACCACACCTAGCACTTGTACACGTTTTAGGATGGGTAGGCTGTTGGCACTTAATATCCTTCCCAGATAGAATAAGCTATTTACATATTCTAGATTCTTCCATCTAAATGAAAACTCCTCCTTTTCAGATCTTCCCACTTCCTTATCCGTGGTAACTGAGGGAATTCCTTAGTCTCTTCCTGCTTCTTTCTGAGTCTCGTCTAAACTATTCCTGACACTATGAATGCTATCTGGATGCCTCTTAAGGTAAGATGGATTGGCTTTTCCTTATTACTTCATATGTGTATTTTAGAAGCAAGAATATTTGTTCATTTATTTGTGTTTTGAGACAGGGTCGCATTGTAGCCTGGGCTGGTCTGGAACTTTTTATGTTGCTGAGCTTGGCCTTAACTTCATGAACGTCCTACCTCAACATTCCAAAAGATAGGATTATAGGTGTTGGCCTCTGACCAGATCTATCTATAGTGTTCTTGAATTTGCTGTTCTTCAATTACCTTGCATTGTACTCATCCTCAGAACAATTAGCATCTTAGAATTTGTGTTATTGCTGTTCTTGGTTATTGATGTTAAAATATTAATGAAGTTCTCAAATTAACTTTTATAGTAATGATGAGTCCATTTTTTAAACTTTAAATTATTACAGCTTACATATTTGTAAAATTCTGTTCTAAACCTGGTAGATGGGTTGTCAATTCAGACTTCGAGGTCCATTTTCAAACAGGTACTTTGGAGTCATATGAACTTGGGTGTGTCCCACTTTTGCAAATCAGTAGCTGATTCATGTGTTACAAAAGATGTGTCATTAACCATTTGTTTACTATGAAGTTTCATATAGTATGTTAAGGTTTATGTGTACAGCTCTTTGACTGCTGTGCTGCTTCTTAGGCCAGTGCGTGAACCCTTACACTAATGTTTTTCAACAGGTAGCCATTGTGTCTTTTCTCTCACAGGGCAGACCTTTCTTACTTGGGCCATGTGGACGGTGACCATTTGATTAAAAAAAAAACTTTCTATGATTGTTTTGTGTCTCTTATGGCTCTTTCTGATCTGTTTAGAGATGGCAAAAGAACTCTTGGTTAGGACTAAAAGAGGACAAAACTTAAGGCGTGAGAGTGAGGAAGTGAGAGGAAGGACCAAGAACTGATGAGTAGTGCTAGAAGTCCTTTGTCAGCCTGGCCTTCCTTGAGAGTCAGATAACAATAGAGTTAAGATTGTTTCGTGGTGATCTGCTTAGCTAATGCCTGAATAGTGTACCGGGGAAATCAAAATAATGCAGTCTGTGCAACCTAAATATTTGGACTTTGGGGAAATCTTTAGATAATGTAGACTGAATCTTATCCTCATGTATGTTCTGGCTGCTGTTGTTGGATAATGAGTTGAATATTATTGGAGAATGGATAAGGGTACAAGGCGACACATTCTTTCCAGCCTTTTCCTCATGCTACAGTTCGAGGGGTTGAATGGGGAAGCAACCTATAATTTGAGTGCCTAGGAACTGGAAGACCTTGTGTAATTGTGTTTCCACTTCTTTTTTAAAAAAATACATTTATTTTTATTTATGTGCATTTTTTAAAAAATTTATTTATTTAATATTCTGTCTGTGTGTGTGTCTGCAGGCCAGAAGAGGGCACCTTCTTACATTACAATAATGGTGGCTCATTACAGATGGTTGTGAGCCACCATGTGGTTGCCAGGAATTGAACTCAGGACCTTTGGAAGAGCAGGCAATGCTCTTAACCACTGAGCCATCTCTCCAGCCCCATTTATGTGCATTGTTGTTTTGCTTGCATGTGTATCTGTGTGAAGTCTCAGAACTCCTGGGGCCAGAGTTACAGACAATGGTGAACTGCCATGTGGGTACTGGGAATTGAACCCAGGTTCTTTGGAAGTGCTCTTAACTGCTGAGCCATCTCTCCAGCCCCTGTGTTTCCGCTTCTTAACAATTGTTTTGTGCTAGGACTTGCTGACTTCTATGATTAGTATATTAGATTTCATGTTGCTATTTCTTTGGCATTAAGATATTAAATATACTGAGGCCTACTTTTTAAAAATGTGTGTAGTGTTTAATGTTTTACCTCTATTATTGGTAAATTTGGGGTATTATAATACTATAACTTCTACTGTTAGATCAGAGTCCTTTGGCATGACAAAAATACAGACCAAAAGTCAGTGTCCTTTAGTGTGTATGAATTATTATCTATTAACTACTTGGAAAAATGTAGTTACGTAGCTGTCTTGTTTTTTTTTATGTTCCCTACCAATCGTTTGATCATCGTAAAACGTGCTAAGTCTAAACTTTGTTGTTTTGAGATAGAACCTTGCTGTATGGCCAGGCAGTGGTGGCGTATACCTTTAATCTCAGTACTCGGGAGGCAGAGGCAGGCGGATCTCTGTGAGTTCGAGGCCAGCCTGGTCTACAAGAGCTAGTTCCAGGACAGGCACTAAAGCTACAGAGAAACCTTGTCTCGAAAAAACCAAAACAACAGCAACAACAAAACAGTAGGGATAGGGGTGTCTCTGATTCTTTTGTCTGCTTTTGGGACCTGTTTCCTCCTACTGGGTTGCCTTGTCCAGCCTTGATATAAGGGGTTTGAATCTTGTTATGCCATGTTTGGTTGATATTCCTGAGAGCCCCGCTCTTTTCTGAAGGGAGANTCAAAATATATTTAATTTGACAGAAATTGTGCTTTTTTTCTGTATTTTCAGATAGGAGTTACATTTTTATTTATTTATTTATTAGTATTTTATGTATATTGGTATTTTGCCTGTAAGTATGTCTATGTGAGGGTGTCAGATCTTCTGGAACTGGAGTTAGAGTTGTGAGCTGTCATGTGGATCCTCTGGAAGAGCAGCCAGTGGTCTTAACCACTGAACAATCTCTTTAGCTCTTTGTTTTTTGAAGCATGGTTTCTCTGTGTGTCTCTGGCCATCCTGGAACTCACTCTGTAGACCAGGCTGTCCTGTAACTCACAGAGATCCACCTTTTCTCTGCCTCCCAAGTGCTGGGATTAAAGGCGTATGCTGCTACCACCAGTGGTGAGTCAAGTCACGTTTTATTATTATTATTGTTGTTGTTTCTGCTTCTTAACAATTTTTTTTAAAGATTTATTTATTTATTATGTACACAGTGTTCAGCCTCCATGTATGCCCTCAGGCCAGAAGAGGGCACCAGATCTCATCACAGATGGTTGTGAGCCACCATGTGGTTGCTGGGAATCGAACTCAGGACCTCCGGAATAGCAGTCAGTGCTCTTAACCTCTGAGCCATCCCTCCGGCCCCTTAACAATTTTTTGAGACAGGGTTTCTCTGTAGCTTTGGGGCCTGTCCCGGAACTAGCTCTTGTAGACCAGGCTGACATTGAACTCACAGAGATCCATGCCTGTCTCTGCCTCCTGAGTGCTGCGATTAAAGGTGTGTATGGTTACACCTCACCTAAATTTTTATTTTTTAATGTTTCTTATTTCTGAGTGTCTGTGTGTACACATAGCTTACATGGAGGAGACAGTTTTCCTTCTGCTGTATGGGTTCTGAGGATCAAACTCAGGTTGACAGACTTGGCTTGTAAGTGTCTTTACCTTTTGAGGTGTCTCACCAGCCTGTTTCTTTGTATTTATATATTTATTTGTTTGTTTTTTTGAGACGGGGTTTCTATACCTCTGACTGTCCTAGAACTCATTGTGTAGATCAGGCTGACCTCAAAATCAGAGATCCACCTGCCTCTGCTTCCCAAGTGCTGGGATTAAAGTTGTGTATCACCACCTAGCTTCTTGTGTGTGTGTGTGTGTGTGTGTGTGTGTGTGGTGCATCTGTATATATAGGTAGGTATACATATATATACATATGGAGGCCAGAGGTCAATGTTGAGTGTCCTCCTCAATCACTGTCCACCATATTTTTTAAGACAGGATCTCACTGAACCTGGAGCTTACCATATAGGCTTTGTTACTTGGCCAGTGAGCTTGGGATCTTCTCATCTCCACCTCCTAATGCTTGCGCTGTAGTACTTACTGTTGTTTCTGGCCTTTTTAGGGGCGGGGGAACACAGGGGAGGTTCAAAACAAGCTTAAAATATTATTTCTTTTCACACAAAGAATTTTGTTATAATTATGTCTGTTATGCTGCTACAGGGTATATGTGGAGGTTAGAGAACAACTTTATTGAGTTTGCTCTGTCCTTGTACCTTTATATGTTTTCTGTGAATTGAATGGCAAGAGTCTTTCCCTGCTGAACCCTCTTATTGCCTTTTTAACTTTTTTTTTTTGAGACAAGTTCTCACTGTCGCTTTGCCTGGCGTGAAACACTCGATGACTATGTTGGCCTTGTTTGAGAGAGATCTGCTTGCATCTGCCACTTGAGTGCTGGGATTAAAGACATGATCCACTATATTTGGCTTTTTATGCCTTTTGTTGTTTGAGTCAAAGCCAAATATTTGAAAACAACACTTAAAAATAAGTAAAACACATGGTTCCTTCTGTCCCCCCTTGTGTCTGGATGCAAGGAAGGCTGGGTTTGAATAGTGACTGAAGTGATAACCTGAAAATGGTCCAATAATTTAGTGTATGTTGTTTGGGATGTTAATTTTATTTTATTTTTAGTTGGTTTTCTTTTTCTTCTTTCTTTTTTTGAGCCAGGGTCTCACTGTATAACTCTGGCCGTCCTGGGACTCATAGAGATTCACCTGCCTCAGCCTTCCAAGTGCTAGGATTAAAGGAGTATACTGTCAGGATCTTTTTTTTTTTTTTTTTTTTTTTTTTTTTAGACAGGGTTTCTCTGTAGAGTCGAGCCTGTCCTGGAACTTCCTCTGTAGACCAGCCTGGCCTCGAACTCACAGAGATCTGCCTGCCTCTGCCTCCCAGTGCTGGGATTAAAGGTGTGCGCCACCACCACCCAGCATGCCTGTCAGAATCTTAGTTTAAAAAGAAATTCTTTTAAATTTTAATTTATGTATGTGTCTATGTGTGCTGCTTGTGTGTGGGTACCCAGGAAGGCCAGAAGGGGATGTCAGATCTCCTAGAGCTGGAGTTATATAGGTGATGGATATGCATCACTCAACCTGGATGGGTGTTGGGTATCATATGTGGGTCTTTGATCTTAACTGCTGTTCTATTTCTCCAGTCTCCAAGAATTACCGCCCCCCCCCCCCCCAAAAAAAACAGGGTAGCATGTAGGTCAAGCTGGTCTTGAACTCATGATGGAGCTGAGTATGATCTTGAACTTCACCTCCTAAATGCTGGGATTATAGGCA